TCCATTGTGATGGGGAGGCGTGATGGCAGGAGGTGGCCAGAGGAGAAAGCAGTGCACTCACATCTTCAGGCAGACACAGGAATCCGAGAACAACTGGAGATATAGCAAGGCTTAGGAACTCACAAAGCCCCCACCCTACTGACACGCTTCCACCAGTATAGCTTCCATAAGCCTCCCAAAACAGCACCACAAAATCGGGATAAAATGTCCAAATATGGGAGCCTGTAGGAGACATTCTCATTCAAACCACCGGGCATTATAAAATAATGAGTAATTACCTTTTTACCACCTCCATTCTTCATGGTTGCTGTAAAAATCCCTATGGTTGCCCCACAGCCACTCCTTTTGTGTATAAAGAAAGTTCTTAGGGAACTTGGGATGGATAGACAAATGACATGCACTAATTTGCCATGGTCTGTCTGGAAGTTTGGACAAATAAGTAAAGCACTTTGTCTCCTTTAGTCACTCTTATTTTAATTAGTAATTTATTTACTTTTATGTATGTGACTGTGTTCCCTGAATGTAAGTGCTCCAGTGTGTGCAATGCCCACGGAGGCCAGGAAGGGGCATCGGATTCCCTGGAACTGGAGTTTCAGGCAGTTAGCTGTCATGTGGATGCTGGGAACCAAACCTGCGTCCTCTGGAAAAACAGCCTGTGCTCTAAATCACGGAGCCAGCTCTCCAGCCACATCTTTTTAAGTTATTATTTTTCTTTTTTTCTCTCTTTTTTTTTCTTTTTTGGTCGTTTTAGAGACAGGGTTTTCCTGTAGCCCCAAATGGCTTGGCACTCACTATATTTAATCCCAAGTGTTGGGATTAATCATTCTTGTTTACCCCATGACACTCAAGTCTAAGACTGACTATGACTCCTTGCTGTGCTCTCTGCTCACGATCTCAATAAGTTCCCTACTTATTATTCACAGACACTTTATTTAACACTTAGAAAAACCCACTAAGATGATTCACTGTCCTAATACCGTCCAATTAACAAATCTGGAGACTACTATGAATTGATGGACTTCAGATTCTGTACTAGGATTAATATCTGTTCTACAAAAGAACCATTTCTCTTTCTGTTCCTGAATGTCTTTGTTTTTTTAAGCAAGAATTAATCAAACATGCAAAACTCCACGTGTATATTTGTTCCTGGAGAGCTGTACAAGAACTTCTGCCATTAATTAATTTATTTATTTATTTATTTATTATTTGTTTGTTTATTTTGAAGTAGGGTCTTCTGTAGCCCCAACTGACCTGGCACTCTCTATGTAGACCAAATTGGTCTTGATTTTTACCTGCCTCTGTCTCTGGAGTGCTGAGATTAAAAGAGTGTACTACCATGTCCAATGCTTCTACCGTTTCTTCGTGATTTTTGTCAGAATGTCATGTAAGGTTTGGCACCATCTCCTCATTATTGAATCAGGCCAAAGACATTATTCTCCTTGAAATAAAAGATGTTAGGACAGGATTTCTTAGAAACCACACTGGATAGAAAGGAAATCATAAAGTGGAGTTAAATAAAAGAGAGAAGATATGACTGAAAATGCTTCATATATGGGGGGAAGAAAGAAAAGAAAAAAGCAAGATTCCAGGGAGACAGTTCCAAAGGATTCTAGGAATAAGGGAAGACGTAAAAATCGTATTACAGGACGGAATTTCAGCTACCTGAAATTACAGTCTAAACAAAATAAGAGAAACTATTATATAATTTTAAGACATCTGTAGATATCAAAAGATACTACTATTTAGAATTTTTTAAATTTACAAACATCTTGAGGTTAGAGAGATGGCTCAGCAGTTAAGAACACTGGTTGTTCTTGCAAAAGACCAGCAAGCACCCTCATGGCAGCTAACAACTGTGCATAACTCCAGTTCCAGGGGATCCGACACCTTCTTCTGACCTCCATGGACATTGCTTGACATGGGTGTACTTACATACATGTGTGGAATACACTCATTCACATAAAATATAAAAATAAACAAAGGATATTTTAAAAATAATTTGCAAACATCTTTTGAATTAATTTTTACTCAAACCCAAGTGCTAGAAATAAGAAATTGTATCTGATGAACTGATTTCAAAGAAAGACACTGGGCCAAGTTGGACACACAATGTTAGTTTTGTATGGCATACCAATGATAAAGATGAATATTGGTAATCACAAAATTTTGAATGAAGGGCAAATAGAACAATATCTATAGTAGGCAATGTCACCAACTGAAGTTTGAGTTCTATATGGTGATTTATTCCAAAGCCCAATGCCTCCAAAGAGTTCAGCAGGTTTTAAACTTCTCAGAGGCCTTTGAACATACAAAGACTTATTATGTTGATTCTCAGAGAAACTGAGAACACCACTCTGTACATATCCATAAAAAATCTAAATATGAAAGCAATGGAAGATAATTAGCAATATAGGCAATTAAATTTGGGGTTTTTTTTTTCTTGGAAAATGATATCAAGTTTAGAACATGCCTATTACTAAGGTATGAATTTGATGGCTATGAAATGTCTTGACAACAAATTAAACTGGATGATATCAGTCAAATAGCTTTGTTACCTGTATACCCTATGACATCCTTCAAAATGTATTCAGTTTTTTTCCCACCTGAAATTATAACTCTGGCTTGTCATCAAATATAATTGTTGAAAGATGTCATATTCCGAAGGATAAACTTAGAAATTGCCAACACTGAGCTTTTCTACTCAAATCATGCTCTTATAAGTTTGAAAGCACACAAAGACCAAAAATATTTTTGCTCAAGGTCTTGGGAAGTAGCCAGATAAGCATTTACGGTCCTTGGATCTGCTTTCTGCTGTTACCCATCTCCACCTACTTCATTCTACAACTTTTTCTCTCAAACTAAGATTGTTCTGTTTTCTTTACCAGCTAAAGAAAAGTAGACACTTTCTTTTCTATGTATATTCTTTATAGAAAGCAGAAAACTGCTAATTGTGAGATATTCAAAAGTATTTTAAGTAATTGCCATTATCCTTTTTTCTAATATGCTGAGCCTGCATTGCTGTCATTAATTGATAGTTTTGGGGGAGGTGAGAAGTTGAACTTCAGAATGAATCTCAACACTGATTTGATACATATTTGTTAGTTGTTCTGTTTTTAGAAAGAAGTAAAAAAGATGCTGGCATTTTTAACCTGTCTCCTGTTAACTGAAGCATGATTAGAATCAAGTGCCATACCTTAACCTGTAATCCTAAGAAGTGTCATCCATTTGTAAATGTTGAAAAAAAGCAGGAACTTCTATGTAAATATATCTACATAGTTTTATTTTAGCTTTGACTTGTATAAAAATACTGAACAATACAAAAACACTGCATTTTATCTGCATCATAATTACAAGTCATTTGAATAATTCCTGATATCCCCAAGGTAAGAGATAGGAAGACTCTTTATAGCCAGCATGTAAATTTGCTTACAGGCATAAGGTCTAATCTATAGAATAATTTCCTGAAAGGTAGTTTACATGAGCACAAATTATACAATTTGATAAGGGATGTTATCCTTAGGTTAGGGGGCTGATCATGGGGACAGGGGAGCTATACAACTGTCCAAATAACAAATTCCCCAGTGAGTGCTAGATACTGTACGTAATGAAGCATGGAGTTGAACTTGTGCCAGTGCATAAAAAGAGCCACCAAGAAATTACTGTTGGTTAAAAAACACAGTGAATGTTCATCTTTTCTAACCATTGTACATTCACGTAAAGATACCACTTTGCCATTACCACAGTCAGACACAGTTGCCAAAAGAAAGTTACTGGGCTCTGCCCTCACAGTGTAAAGGTTAGCACTGATGGAGCATCTCTATTGTGAACAGGTTTAATTTCCGTATTTTTGGACATTTGTCAAATAGTAAGTGTGACTAGTGGAAAAGGTTAATAGTCAAAAATATATTAATATAGGCCTTTCACAGATCATGAGATTTCTAGACATTGTGATCCAAAACGTGAGACTGCAACTGTGTTCATTTCAATGGTATTCTATTTTTAGAGAGGAAGAGCTAGAAATCTCACAAATCATATACTGTACTAATGAAGTAAATGACTCAAATAAAATGAGAGAGGATGTAATGCAGCCTACATTTGGGAGATGTGAACATATATATAAATAGAGCTAGAGTTTAGGTATTGTTCAAGGGTAGCCCATATACACAGCCTGTGAGGCCAGGTATTCAAGCTTCAAAAATGAATATAAATAAATAAATAAATAAATAAATAAATAAATAAATAAATATAAATAATAAATAATAAACAACACAGTTCCAGGCACGAGACAAAGGAGAGGCTCAATACGCAGGCACCGTTGTATTATTGTTATATTTGTTGAGGTATGTACGTATGATAAAGTGCATTTGTCTTAAGCATTTAATCTGCTCGGTCTTCCCAAAAGTCTACCCCACACCAGGTTCAGCTCACACATGAAGAGATAACTCTCTCCTTACCTCTAGCATCATGGTGTAAAACAACTGGTTTTTGTTCTCCTGTATGAAAGTAACATTTTTTTATTGAATGTTATCTGGGTAGGTATGCTCTATTTTGTTTTGAAATGCAGAGACAAATTCCTCACTTCTTTTTAAAAAACATGCACTCACATGACACACAGAGTCTTCTTAGAGACTGGTGGCATACATTTCCATGAAACTGCCTAAGGATTGGATATAGGTCATCATCATCGAAAGTATCCAGAAAGACTAGTCAGTCCATAAAGGGATTCACCCTATGATCCTAGCGTTATTAACACCAGCTGCTAACTACATAAGGTACCAACCCAGAGCGCCACTCACATTCCTTCCAGTAAGATCTCCTGTGCTATTCCTGAGCATGATGTGATGATGCTGATTTCTGTCCTTGTCATGAAAGAAAAACATATGAAGATATATGACCAAAAATTTTATACAAAACTTGCTATTTCATTAAGGAATGAAAATTACTCTGAGTGAAGTAAAAGAGAAACCACCAATTTCTCATATTTTCCAAATGATTTATAGGTCCTGTGGATGTCACCATTCTTGCCAAATGTAATCCCTGTTTATCAAATCCATGTAAAAATGATGGCACCTGTAATAACGACCCAGTTGATTTTTATCGGTGCACCTGTCCATATGGTTTCAAGGTAAGTGGAAGCTTTTCTAAGAGCCACACTCTGGATACTATCACCTGCCTTGGTATGTCTTCATTATTCAACTGTGCTTTCTCTGTGTGCTGAGGGCTGCCCTTTTGTTATTCGCATCTAACTTTACCTGGCCATTTCTTCTCCAGGGACAGGACTGTGATGTCCCCATCCATGCATGCATCAGTAACCCATGTAAACATGGAGGAACTTGCCACTTAAAAGAAGGAGAAAGAGATGGATTCTGGTAAGTCACTGACCGTGATTTCCTTGTCAGACGTACTGAAGAAAAAGTAACTAGACAAATACGCATTTTCCTTTTCAAATAGAAAGGCATTGCTCCAAGAAGCATGTTCACATAGGAACCAAATGTGTTAATCCCTGACAGAGACACTGCAATATGTAAAACAAATAGAGACACTACATGGCTCTCAGCTGAGGATTGTACAAGACCAAGATATAAAAACTTGCACATACACATATACAATTAGTCAAGTTGGAGTGTAGCAAGACGAAGTATTGACTCCATTATGTTAATTAATAGCCAGCTGGTCCCTGTCTGTTAATCCTACACTTATCTGTTCATTTTCCTTTTTGCTTCCCTAGGTAGTAAGTGAAGATAATATGTAGGTCCCACTGAAACAGAAAATTAATGATTCATTTCCAGGACATGATATAAGCAGACAAATATGCTGTGAATATTTTAAGCTGCAATTATTTAATCATATGGTACAGTTACTTCAGATACAGCTCATGAATCATGAAATGGAGATTCTTGTTAACACTAATAATTTCACATAAGAATGTAAATCTACTACTAAAGCTTCTTACAAATTTTACTCTGTAGAAGAAATTGTTTCTTTTACAAAAGTGACTCTTATTTACAGTCTTCAGTCAGCTCTTACTCTAATATCCCCTCAAGATTAAATATACAATGTTTTCTTGCTAGGGAAAATGTATTTTGTGACTTAAAGAACATTTTCATTAATTAAGCTTATTCTCTGACAATTTTTTACATGTATAGAACTTTTCTACCAAACCTCTTTTCCCCCAAGCTGTACCACCTGCTTTTTCCTCTCCATAAATCTCTTTCCAATTATGAAATTTTATTTTAAAAGTATTCATATTTTATAGTTTCAACAATAAATACAAATTTTAGATTCCTTTTTATTGCAAGACGTCAATGGCATTACACATAAAGTAGGAGAGAAAATAATTTTTAAAATCAGAACCAGTTCCTCCTCAATTATAAACGTGAATTACGTTATTTACAGCTGAAGAGGAGGCTAACATGTCTGTGTCTAGGGATGTAGAATGAAATTTTGCTTCTCTTTTGGATCTGCAAATAAATGAGAAATTATTGACTGTTAAGACCATGGAGTGATTTGCCACCTTGCAACCTGCATAACCTCTTTTGCTTTTTTTTTATTTTTCTGATTTCTTAGCTAGGACCTTAAATTTATGCTTACAATGTGGAATTCTAACGCATTTAAAATAAATTTCTTATAGTTAAAAGATGTTTTTCATTGACGCGTATGTCTATGCTTTTTATCAATATTTATGCCACATAATTTTACAATGCAAAAGAAACAAAAAGCTATTGCTTGCCTTCCTTCCCCTGATGTTCAGGTGTATTTGTGCTGACGGATTTGAAGGAGAAAACTGTGAAGTCAATATTGATGATTGTGAAGATAATGACTGTGAAAATAATTCAACATGTGTTGATGGAATTAACAACTACACATGCCTTTGCCCACCTGAGTACACAGGTATGAAGAGGAGAAAATGTGCATCATCAGTAAATATATAACCTTGAATGCATCATGATACTATATTTGTTTATTTACCAAGCCACTCTATCATTCAATTCTGGGAGGTATAATTAAATTAACAGAAAGACTTAAAGTGATTTCATTGAACGAATTAAAAGGTGCAACAAACTCAGTTCTACTCATGCATCTGCCTAATAAGGTCATGCACTCCAGGACAAGGTCAAGGACAAGGACAGGATACGGAAAGGAAAAGAAAGAAGCAGCTCACATGCTAAAACTTTTGGAACCATGATTTTGTTTCATTTTTATTCAAACATTTTTCCCTGTAGGAACTAACCTGCCAGTGCATATATTTACATTTCTATACATAGCCAGAAACAAAATTTACCTTTGAGATTAATAACAGCCTTTACTATTTCTTCACTAGTGGGTGTTTGCCTCCAGTAACCCACATCCTTCAAAATGGCATTCCATCAGAAAGGTAGAAAGCATTTTGGACAGTCTTATCATGTTTTTTACTGACACTTTGTCTCTGATAAATCTGATAAGACTACTCAAATTACTAAATTTTCTTCCATTCATACAGATTTTCTTTAAAATCAGAATCAAACTTCTGATTTGTCAATTTTGACTGAATAACATTTTTATTGGTTTTGTGGCTAGGTTTAAGAAATGTCATATTACCTTGTTTACTTTAAGAAATTATTCAAAGGTAACAGGGAAAGAAGAATGCTACACATTTTATTTCTAAGTATAAGCAGAGAAGTCGATTCTGTTAGACTTTAAAGTTACCATTTTTGTTTCACTGGATGTTTTCATTCATTATATCTATCTGCATATAACCTAGTACAGAGTCAAGATTTTCAAAGAGTGAAATAACTTTGTAGGTACCTAGAGTTAATACTTTTAAACATAATATATGGCCACAAATCTATTAGCTTTCCTAGGATTCTGCAGGAAAAAATATTGAAGTTTGTCATTATGGAACCCAAAATTTTCTTGATGGGAAAGATAGATTATAGATAGATTGATTAATAGATGATACATTGACAGATGATAGATAGATGATAGATTGATAGATGATAGATAGATAATAGATTGATGATAGATTGATTAAATGATGATAAATATATTGACAGATGATAGATGATTGATAGATAGATAGATAGATAGATAGATAGATAGATGGATGATGATAGATAGATAGATGATAGATGATAGATAGATAAATAGATAGATGATAAACATTTACTTTTTAAAATAACTTTAAGTAAAAAAGCATGAGTCAATTTAAAGAGTAATATTAAGTCAATAGTTAAAGGTCTGGGGCTCTGGCAGGAATAGCGACCTTACAAGTGGACACTGGAGAGGCCTGGAGGGTTCCTAGACACCCTTCACAGCTGGGTTCAAATGTCACTTCTTTTGTGTAGTTCTCTCTGACAACCCACTCCTCAAACAAGACGTCACCACTCTGGGTCCCTAGCCCCCAGCCAAGAGTTGGCCGTGCTTGACACTTCGGGTTGCTTGGAGAGGGACAGGCAACGGCAGGACACATGTAGGTCTACTTCCCCCTTTCCCGAAGGCTTTCAATCCACACAGTTGGAAGTTCCTGCTTGGGAGCAATGGGCAAGCTCCCTGAAAGGATCCTGGCTCAGGAGGCCCTTAGGCCACATATCTCCTGTCAGTTTGTATGAGTTTCTAGGCCTTGGTATGCCAAGGATGGGTAGATGGATGGATGAATAAAAAGAGAGAGAGACAATAGATAGATGATAAGTGGATAGATGATGGATGAATAAAAAGAGAGAGAGACAATAGATAGATGATAAGTGGATAGATGATGGATGAATAAAAAGAGAGAGAGACAATAGATAGATGATAAGTGGATAGATGATGGATGAATAAAAAGAGAGAGAGACAATAGATAGATGATAAGTGGATAGATGATGGATGAATAAAAAGAGAGAGAGACAATAGATAGATGATAAGTGGATAGATGATGGATGAATAAAAAGAGAGAGAGACAATAGATAGATGATAAGTGGATGGATGGATGGATGATTGATGGATGGAGGATGGATAGATGATTGATGGATAGATGGTTGATGGGTGGATGGATAGATAGATGATTGATGGATAGATGATGGATGGATGGATGGATGGATGGCTAGATGATTGATGGATGGGTGGATGGATGATTGATAGATGATAGATAGATGGATAGCTGGATGGATAGATAGATGATGGATGAATGGATAGATAGATGATAGATAGATGATGGATGGATGGATAGATAGATAAATAGATAGATACATACATACATACATACATACATAGCTTACAATGCTAGTGGGCTGAATTCAAACTATCTTCAATATTTTGCATTAAAAAAGGATAGCAAGTATAACCTAACACACCTATGCTAAAGTGCTAGACAACCTTTGTTGTTACATGGGTTTCACCCTTTCATCATCATCATTTTGTCACACCTCAGATGCCTTTCATTAGCCTGTGGCCATAGATTTAGAGCCCTTACACCATCTCTGAGATTATGAATTTTGTTGTAGAGTAATCTAGATGTGTGTAAGCTGTGTTTCAATGTTTACATTAAACTGTTTCTTATTAATCCTAAGAGAAAGCCATCCTCTTTTCCATCACTGTTCTGATGACAGAAAGGGCTTATGAGCCCAGTTACTTTTACAGACTTCTATAAACCAAACAGCTCTGATTCCACATGAAAAACTGGATCCCTAAGCATTTAATAATACTTTTATTTTCCATGTCTTTCTGAGTACTGAAACCAGGAATTTATATACATTCTCTTCCTGGAGAAGCCTAGGTGTGAGAATTAAGGTCTTCTTTTGCCTTTTTTATAATTTACATATGGTGATAAACACTTCTGAGTTAGTTTAGAGTGGGCCCTGATGCTTTGGATTTCAATTTCTTGTTTTTATTCTGATCTTTCAAAATTTTTTGAGTCTTTTTTCTTTCTTGCCTTTCTGTTCACAAGCTCCTGTTCACACCTCCTAAGTAACTCAGTTCAATGTGCCTTCCTCTGAAAATTGTGATACAGCCTCCCTTCCCCAGTTATGTCACAATTCATTCTTTGTAATATATCATAATAATTCAAAACTTAGCCAAACCAATTCTTTGCCAAAATATGACATTTATAAAAGTTGTCATGTGGGACCGTACTCTGACTATCTGTCAAAAGCCATTTGGCTCTGGAAAAGAACTGAGATGCTTTTATTCTTTTTACTCATAGTTATTACAAATACTGCATTGCCTTAACTTGGGCAAAGAATCAAGACAAATATTGAACTCATGACAAAGTGCATGGCATAATGAGTATAGAGATACTACCTTTTCAGCATTGACCTGAGTCTTGTGGGTCATGGGAAGTTTGATAATTTGACAATAAAGAAGATATCTAAATGGAACAAATTCATAACCCTTCTCTTAACTGTAGAGATTTTGTGTATGTATGAAATGAATTCCATTTACAAAATGTCAAACAGCCATCTACAGATTGTGAAATCAGTGGCACATAGGTGATCTTTACTTACAGGAATACATAAGTCAAAATCTATAGTTTTGTATCCTGTTTAATCCTCGTCTGCTGTTACAGAGGATTTTTCATATGATGTGACTATTGTTTTAAATTTAATTTTGGAATCTGATTAATGTGCATGAATTCTGAGAAGGGAAGTCCTGCTTTACTCATAGAATATAATAATGTCATTGTTTTGAAATCATTCAAGTCACCAGTTGCTCTTTCCTTTGAAGGTTTTTTTTTTTTTAAACTCTGTATTCCAATGGCATACAATGAGAAAGCGAACTCTATTTGCTAGTGTCAGATGATGACTCACAGGAAAAGCTTGTAAATTATTGTGGAGAAAATACTTCATTTGGCATCTATGTCAAAACTCAAAATAAATATGATATTGGCAAATGAGCAAATTCAGAGATTCAAATGAAATCTGACAAGGAAATCAGAACATATCAAACAGACTGTAAAGCTGGGCTAGAAATACTCAAGATGAAACACTGTTCAGATGTATCAAGGTTTACTTAAACAATTAGTAACAAAAACATCATAGCAAGTACTTAATGACTTCTTAAAGGAGAAAACCCCCTGCTCATTCCTGCTAAAAATTTAGACAATATAAACCAAAAGGTTTATCTTTATCTGTTATCTAAACCCCACTGTGCCCTCTGACTCTCATCATCAGACACATTCTTCTCTACCTACTTAGACCCAGTATCCTTCATTACTAGGCATTTCTAAGTTTTATAAAAGTTGAATTTGCTGAGGTTCTAAATTAAAATGATTATGTGAAGTATTAGGAAGATAAGGACTTGAGAACGTTAAATTGTCTTTAAAACAATTCTGCATTTTTAATTTTAGTTTTGGAGGTGTGGGGACTTGATTTGGTTTGGTTTTTTTGTCATTATTGTATACTTTTAAAGACATTTCTTATAAGAAAGGTTTTGAGGAATTGAGTTCAAAATCTATTAAAAAAATGAAAAATTAGAAATATAGATGTCTGCAATATTGAAACCATGGACACTTAGGTAGTATTGGAGTAGGAGTTGAATTGAAAAATGAGTTTCGCAACAGGAAAAATCGGGGAAAAATGTTTCCCAAGTGTCATAAAACTGAGTTTGCTATTACGTCAGGAAAGTGTCCTAAAAGACCCCTCCCCTACAGGGCCATTTATAAGTATGGCGTTTGATCACATTTTAAGTTTTCCTATTAACTGAAAGAAGTAGGTTAAGTCAGTACGTTGACAGCATGCATGCAAATTGAGTGGTAAACCCTCCAATTTTATTTTGTGGGAAATATCTAGAACATTAACTTTTCTCTGGGCCCATACACAAACATTCAGTGCATATCTACTACAGCAAAGCTGTGGTGTCAGTCATGTGGTTTAGTTCTCTAGCTCCCTGTGATGGGTTTGCCTTTGCCTCCTTCTTCTCCATGTTTGTATGTTTGGCCA